AGTTGGAAACTTGTTAGAAATGCAAAATCTGTGCCACACCAGACATATTGAATTAGAATCTATGGCATGCAGCAATGTAGGTTTTAACAACTCTTCACCTGATTCTGATGCAGGCTTAAGTTCAAGAACTACTGCATGGTAGGGAGTTGGGGGAGGCAAAAAAAACAAAAAAACAAAAAAAAAACATAGCTCTTAAACACTATGACCGTATACATTTTTTTAAAAGGAAGGTATACCCAGATATGAACATAACAAATGCCATTGTTAGTCTGACCTCATCAGCTAGTTCTGAGTGTTTTAATTGTTTACATTTTCATTATTTCCTATCTCTAGAGACAATAAATTCCATGAGTCTTGTAAATTCCACTGTTAGTTTTATATGCGGTTGGGTTAAAAAGTCTGCATTGGCTGTAACTATATCTTTCCTGATAATCTAGAGTGGATGCAGAAATTCCTACAATAGCAAGAGATTGCAGAAAGTAGTTTTCAGTACATACATTGCTATTGTATTTTGGAAATAGTATCAAGCACATTGTCCTCTGTGGGCTTAAAAAGACCCTCTAATATAACATAATTAATTATCATTCTTTTTCACAATGAATGAAATCAACAAATATCAATAATTTCTAATATTCTTAAGTAAGATATAGTAAACTCTGTTGTACCTTTCCCAGAAAGATACCTTTCACATACCTTAACAAATATAACACTTAATGATTACAGAGCTGTTCTAAGGAAAAAACCTCTCATTCCTCAATTATAATTACTTACAATTTAAAGTTGCTACTAAGGAAGTATGAGATCTGCCCAGTAAATAAGTACCATGTAAAGTATTGAAGTGATAAGTAAATCTTATCACAGCCCATCATTTTTGCCCCACGTAACATAATACAATAGTAGTCAAAACTTTCCTGCTTTGAAGCAATCTACTTAAGTATATGCAATTACTCTGTCTTGCAATTAAAAAAAAAAGTGTGGTATTGGTGGTGGTGTTCCAAGATCTGCTCTAACATTAATGAAGGAAGGATCATAGGCAGAGGGCTAAAGCAGAATGTCTATGTAAAACTTAGAGCAATTATCATAAATAATTATAAAATATTAAAAGCTATATCCCTGATATTTAGCACAAGAAAAAGATGTCTGCTAACACCACAATGGACTGGGGAACCTGTGGCCTTCCAGATCCCCAAGTGTAGCACTCCCACCAAATTCAAACTTCACAGAACAAATCCTTTTATTAAACATTTGGATTCAGTCAAAAGGCTGCACTCAAGAATCCAGAAGGCCACATGTGTTCCTGAGGCTGCAGGTTCTTCACCCCAAAAGGGGCATAATTAGATACATAGATAATCCAAAAAATTTACACACTATTATAATAAATTGATAAAGTCTGCTGAAGGAAAGCTCAATATACAAAAAATTAGTTGTATTTTTATATTCTAGGCACAGTTAGAAAAAGAAATAAAATATAACATTTATAATAACAGAAAAAATATATGAAGAAATAAATTTAATGGAGGATATACAAAACCTCTACAAAAACCCCGAAAATATTACTAAGAGAAAGCAAAGAAGACACACATAGATGGAGAGATGCTAAATGTAGAATTGAATATTGTTGAATATGTTAATTCTGCCAATTGATTTATAGAACCAATGAAATTGTAATCAAAATCTAAGCATGCTTGTGCGTGAACTGATAAATTCTTTCCTAAAGTGATATAAAAACACAAAAGATCTAGAATAGGTATGTTGATTTTGAAAAATAACCACACAAATAAAATTAAAAAACCTACACCATTGGATCCAAACATACTTTTGGATAAATGACAACTAGAAAGAACACTAAATCTATAAATACATACATACACATATTAAAGTTCATTAATTTGTGGCAAAAGTACCATTTTAATTCAATAGGAGAAATGATAGTTTCCTTAGAAATGGCACTTATCAATTGAATACCTAAATGGTATAAACTTCACTCCTCCTTCACATTATATGTAGAAATAAATTGCAAATAGAACTTTGATTTAAATAGGAAAGGTAAAACAATATTACTTCTAGAGAAAAATAAGGAAAAATAGCTTTATGATCTTGGAGTGAACAAAGGTTTTCTTTAAAGAAAATAAGAATTAACAAAAGATCAGTAAAATGAATTACATTAGAATTAAAAATGTCTGCTCATTAAGAGACCACTTTTAAGATAATAAAAGGCAAGCTACAGAAAGGGAGAAGGTATTTTCCTATATATATATATATATATCCAAAAAGGACTTCTAATCCAACACACACAACACACACCCACACACACAGAATTCCTATAAGAAATCAATTAGAAAAAGTTGGTAACCCAATAATAATGGGCAAAACTTAAATATCTTTAAAAAGGGGATGCTATGCATTAAACTAGCCAATAAACATAAAAAAGCCATTAAAAATCATCAGACGTTAGGGACTCACAATCCAATTAAATTTCATAATGAGATGCCACTACATACATTTAAGAATGACTAAAACTGGAAAAGAAAACCCCAGTATCAAACATTGGCAAGTATGTGACACAAATGGAACTCTTATAGAGTCTGTAAAAGTAAAATTGGTGCAATCGCTTTAGAAAACTCATTGGAAGTATTTGCTAAAGCTGAACATATGTATATCCTATGACAGAAAAATTCCATTCCCAGATACATATAAAACACAAATGAGTTTATATTTGCATTAAAAAGGTACAAGATTGGTTATATCAGCTTTATTTGTAATAACTCTACCTAAATGATGAGCAATAATAAACTGCATAAATAACTTGAGGTATATAAGTCATATAATGGAATATTATACAGCAATAAAATCATGCAGCAACATAGATAATTATCTCATACATAATGTTGAACAAAATGAACAAGAAACCAAAATAAATACCATATAATTTCATTCATGTCAGAATCCTGCAAAATTAATTCATAAAACCCACTAAACTAATAATCTATGGTGATTAAAGTCAGAATAGTAAGTATATGCATAGATGGCTCACAGAAAAAATTTAAAGAGCTCTTAAACATATAACAATGTGTTCAACATCATTTGTAATATGTGAAAGGTAAATTATAACAATACTGCCATGTAACTTTTCCTATTAGACTTGCCAAAAAAAAAAAAAAAAAGATAACCAATGTTTGCATTTTATGGCAAGAAGGATAGAACACTGTTCTAAATCTTAAGGAGAAAATTTTGGGAGTATTTAAGAAATTAGACAGGCATATTCTTTGATCCAGCAACTCCAGTTTTAAAAATTTATCACACAGATATACCTATACACATTTAAAATGAGTAGGTACCAAGGTTAGTCATTGCAGCGTTATTTGTAATAACAGAAGATTGGAAGCAAACTAAATGTCCTTCAACAGGTGAACTGTTTAAATAAATTTAGTTCATGCATACAATGAAATATTGTACAACTATAAAAAAGGAAGTACTTTATATAATGACATGGACAGACAAGATATGCTAAGTGAAAGAAGCATAATAAAGAACATAAAATAGAAAACACAAAAGAAAATATATGTCTTTTTGGTTTACAAACACAAATTATTTGGAAGGATAAATAAAAAACTAATAATAATGTTTACTTTTTGCAAGGATGGTAACAATGTATGGGGCATGATGAGAGGGAAAGTTTTATTCAATTTCTTTTTGATGTTAATGTACTATTAGTGAAATTCAGATTATAGCTAAAAATTAAAAGTTATATAAATTTTATATATTAGATTATATTTTATACTAAAGATATATGAATATGGGGAAATATTGTCAAAATAATACTTTAAGAAATTAATTTTGCAATAAGATATGCAAAACAAATTGTAAGAGGGAGAGATAGAAAGTAGAGACACCTGCTTGAACATTTTTGTGATACTCTAGTTATAGTGTAATAAATACCTAAATTAGGATGGTGCCAATGAAAATGGAAAAGAAGGGGTAAATGTATGAGGCAATTTTAAAAATAAAAGCAATATAATAAGGATTGCAAAGATATGACTGAAAAGAAAAATTTATACAGGACACAACTAGATTCATGTAGCCTTGATTCCCAAAGAACAAAGATAAAGAACTAACAACTTTTAAGTAATAAAATAAATTGATGAACTCTTGAAATTCTAAATTAATTTTTTAAAGTAAAAATTCATCTCTTTATAAGACATTATATTTTTATCAATTTCTATAAGTTCAAATAAAAATTATGCATATTAAAAGTAATTACAATTTTTGATACTCTATAAAAATAGATCTACAGTTCAACATCAAAGAAATACCTAATATTTTCAGTGCTTAAAAACTGACACAATACTATATATACACAGAAAAAAGACTATTCGAATAAATAAAAAATTTTTAAAAAGACAAATCACTCATAATCCCACCACCCAAACATGTAATATTGACTGTTTTAAACATACAGCACCTGAAAGACTTATTCTTAGGAATTTTTATTCTTATATTTTTTGTATATTTTAATGCACACATAGTTTGATATTGTACATCACACCATATTATATGTATTGCCATTTTTTTCTTTGTCAATGAATATATATCTTATAAAACTGTGATCCAAAGGAATGATATCATTTTCTCTTGTACAGATAGTGTATGTTTCCCACTAATCCAGCTCTGGCCATCAATGACAAAGTTTCCATATCATACAACCAGTTTTATTTGATACTTAGTAAGCATTATTAATGTAGGTGTGAAAAACTTTCCCTTAAAATATTTTGAAAAGTATTACACTTATATCTCTGATCTTAATTTTTATTTTGGGCCAGAAATATTTTAAAGGCATGTATTTCTTTTGGATTTTTGGAATAAGATATATAGTAAATTAAAGAAATGGAATTACACCTAATTACTAAATTATAAATTTCTGAGTATAAGAATTATAAAAATAAAGTAATGGATTACCATAGTGAATTACCAGAAGTCTGAAAAATACCATTTATGTTTACCTGAAGTAGGAGACTTGCAGCGCTCAAGTTCCAGAGGGACTGGACTGTCATTTAGCTCAGTTAAGCCTAAAAACACAATAGTGCAAAAAAAAAAAAAAAAAAAGGAAAGAAAGAAAAGAGAAAAAAAAGGAGATAAATTTTGTTAGTACTTTGTAGGTAACCATATTCTAATTCCTATAAGTTTAAAAAAGCTTTTTTCCTATGAAAATTACTTTCCTATGTCCATGTAGTGTCAATTACCTGAAAATTTATTTAAACAAGTGATACAGGAAAAATAAGACACAATAACTGATTGACACATAAGGATAATTAAACATGAACGGTAGAAAGATATAAAATCCCTTTTCTTATTATTTTCGTCTGAAATAGCTACTTTAATAAATGACCCAATTTTATCTGAAAATAGTCGTTTTAAAGTCTTAAATATTTTTTCAGGTGTAATGGTTATTGGCTTTCAAAAGATATTTAAAGAGATGCTATAAATTTAAAATTTTATACTTATTTATAAAAATGTAGTATTACATATAAAATTACTAAGTGATTTGTTCAATGGCATTAAATTCCTTCTTATATAACAAGAACTATATTTTTCTCTTATTTATAAGATTAGTTTCTATTCTGTCACTTTCCTGACAAATATAAGACAGGCAATACCAGACCTCAGACTATACTACAAATCCATAGTGATCAAAACAGCATGGTACTGGCACAAAAATAGAGAGGTAGATGTATGGAACAGAATAGAGAGCC